GTTTTCCAACTTTGCTTCTGAGTTGTTCGAGGACTTCTCCTCTCCAGTCCTCCGGAAGGCCTTTGTCTTCAGGTATTATCGAAGGCTCTATTCTCTTGTGCGTGGTCTTGCCCAGCCTAGCTCAGTCCTGTTGATTACAGTCTATAAAACCTCTCTGATTTCAACTTGAATTTCCAACATCGGCTTCGGACTTCACCCCTCTAACAGTCCCAAATTTGTGAGTATGAAATTCGGCTCCCTCTTCCTCTTGTTGAATATATAAATATATTTATCACTCCATGTTTGATAGTATTGAAAGGAGTAGAACAAACAAAAATTTGTTGTTGTTGTTGTTGTTGCTGTTGTTGATACTCGATGGAATGATTTCAGTAATGAAACTCGTAATGTTGAATATGAATTTTGTTATCGAATGATTGATTGTTGCAACCCCGAGAATACCCTTTCGAGTCCGGGCCCGAGTAAGTCTCTAGGTTCGTGGATCCGAACCCTTTCGAGGCTTAGAGCCATTTAGCCCGTTTGATGGTGATAAATCTGGTCCCGCCAGTCTTGGACTTGCGATAAATTCGGGCCCACTAATCTTGGGCTATTGGGCCTAAATAATTTAGTGGGCTCAAATTAGCCCCTCTTACATTTGCCCCTTGCGTGTATGAGAAATTTTAAATTTCTCAGACATGCATACTGTCATTTGTTCGACCCTGTTTCGCACCACGTTCCCCAAAAAAAAAACGTTTTGTCACGACAGAGCCTATGGATAAAGTTGATGACGCACTTCAATTTACAGAAAAAATTGACAAGCAAAAAATTAATTTTTTTGTACTCACGGATAATGCTCTTTTTTTTTATTTAAGGAAAGTGCCAAAACCCTAATCCTTACAAACTTTGCACAGCCGCCACACCCATTTCAGCCTTTCTCTTTCTTTTTTTTTATTTTTTTATTTTGAAACTCATTTCGGCTGACTCTCTCTCTCAACCAAGACCAACCCAAGCTTCATATTCTTCAAAGAAGCTCCCTATCTGTAATACCACAGGGCCACCGCCGCTAGCTCATTGCTCGTTGGTGCAACTCCCCCGTCGTTGTCGAAGACCCACACCACAGCCGTGATTGGCCAGTGCTGGCATAGCTCTACTGCGATGTCACTGTTAATGCTTGCTCACAGCCCACTACTGCAACTCCAAGCGCCGGCACCGTCGGTGTCACCGACCCATCCTACCGCTGGCCTCTCTATGCTGCTTTGCTTCCGGCCTTGACCGCCCACTCAACGCGACATGCGTGGTCCTGCCCAGCGCCATTCAGCTCACTATCTGCAAGCAAACCGAGACAAGACCCAGCCTACCATCTTCCTCAACGAAGCTCTGCTTCTGCAATATCAGAGACCAGCGCTGTTTGTTCATGCTGGCCGTCGTCGCAGCTCCAAGCAACGCCGCCGACCTACCTCAACGTCGCGAGCCAGCCATAGACTTGTCGCAGCCCTGACAGCCTTAGGCATCGTGGCCCAAGATATCGCTCACCTTCTCTTCAGTGTAACGAGCGGCTCTTCAAAGACTTAGACACGCTGGAGCTCAGTTTTTTGGTTGATCAACGCCGACGCCGACTCCGCTACGTCTTCAAAGCTGTCTTCGTCCTCAACTGTCCAACGCCGACTACCCACGTTGCCCTTTCAACGCGACGTGTGTGTGGGCCTGCCTAGCACTGTTTAGCTCGACGTCGGCCCTGGGTGTATGCGTCTCACGTTTGCGATCTTACCACTGCTTCTAGCCACAGTTCTCCATCTTGGTTTGCACTATCCTCAATTTATTTCTTGTCCATTATTATTTCAAATCCACTGTTGCCCTCTCAGATCTGTAGGTAAGCTCTATTCAAATCCACTTTCTCTTCTTGCTTTGATGGAATTTTGTGCTCATGAATTTAGCTCTACTGGGCTTTAGTGCTTGTAATTTTAAATTCCACTGATGCTTAAATTTGTAAAGCTTGAGATCACAAGTTTGTGGGTGAATACTTAAAATCCACTGTTTTGAACTCTACATCCTGATATTGAATTTTGTAATTTTGGCCTGGGATGGGTAATACACTGTTGAACTTGCCCTGATACACTTTGAATTTGTGAACTCTGTCTTGGGGCTTGCTTTAGATTGAATCTGCTGGTGGTTCAGTTTTTTTTATTTTATTTATTTATTTATTTATTATTATTATTATTTTTTTTTTTTT